TATTAATATTTTTCGTCTATGCTATAACAACATTGTAATATAATCTTATAATCTGTAAACTATTATAGTGTAATATTTCATATTAAATAAATAAGTCTGAAAAGAATATCATGTGACGCGACACCAGACAACGTGCATCTAATAGGAGAAATTAGTAGTGGATTGCTCGTGACCGGTAACTAGATAAACCTGGATGAGGGAAACCAGAAGCGAAAGAAACTGTTCTAGAGTGGAAGCAATTTGTTCAACGGATGGGAAAATTGGACGCCCTATAATTCCTTCAAGTTTGAAACGCTGAAATCGCATAAAGAAATTAGATCGATCATGTGCGGAATATGTCCGTTTCTCGCGTCATTACTCGTGGATGATTTTTATATCTTTGCATCAGAAATACGGCCGATAGATTTTTTAAATAATAAATCTTTAAATAAGTATATATAGAAGGTCAATTCCAAGTTTAATAAAAATTAAATGTATAAAACCACACTAATGTGTACAATTGATAAAATATAATTAATAAATAATACATATTATTAAATTGGAGCAACGCAAAAGTGATGAACGTTAACGTTAAAAAAAATGTTCATGGATATGCAAGGTACTTCATGAATGTACGCGATAATCTTTTCGCGTAATACTTTTTTTTTTAATGGGTGTTCTTGCGGAATAATCGATTTTCTCGTGTCGTTTCCAGCAACGCGGCTGGAGCCTGGGGAATCGACAAGGGTCGTTTCACAAGCTAGTCCGATAGTCGACGGCAATGAACATGTTGTCGGTTGTTTGTCGGAGCGTTTCGTGGTCCAGACAGGACAAACATACGGAGACGATTGCAACGAGAGTGCATAGTGTGTGTGTGCGTGTGTGTTCGAGGGTAAATTAAAAATCAATTCTAGGAGAGGGAAACAATTCCGGAGTCCCTGCTTATTGCGCGCAGCATGTGATTCCCCAAAATCTGTATACGCAAGATAGAGACAATGTGCGAACATCCGCATCACCACGGTCCAATTAATATTTCTGAATTAAAAACAACTTGCCTATATTTACGTAAATTCAGAGCAGCTCTCGCTATTAATTATATTTTGTAATGTCTTTCGATTTAAACTCGCCATTCACTTAATTTTTCTTGTCGTACAAACAGACGTAAATTAGACTTATGCCCTCAGACATTGCTGTCGGATAACTTCGTCGAGGAGGAAAACTCGATACTCTAACACGGTTGAAGCCGTGAGAGACCAGTTGACTAGCGCGAAGCAATTTCGGTAGTAAATCCAGGTTGCCGAGAGACAACTCCATTCGAGGAATAAGGATATTACTTCAAAGCGCAAGCTCATCCCGCGCCTTTCATCACACGGTGAGAAATCCCCTGCCCAATCAGAGCAAACCCCGTGTAAACGTTCTGAACTCGACGGCGGAAGTAAATGCTGAATCCGCACGGAGGTGTCAGGTAATAGTCGACTCGTATCTTCGTCCTCGCAGAGCGTGGAAACGGGAGGGCGTGTACGCGCGGAAGGTGGCGGTGAGTATTTTCTCTCCTTCGCTCCCCCCCGTCCCTCCATCTCTACGTAACACACCACCTTCAACCGCCTTTCTCGCGCACACACTCTGCCTTTCTTTCTCTCCATCTCTGTCAGCCTTTCTCTCTTCATCCTTATTCCTCGCTCCTTTTTTTCTATCTCTTTCTCTTTTTTTTTTGGGTACTTGCAGAGAAGAGATGCCTTTCCAACGGAACGAAGTTTTCCGGGGAAGTAAAGTCATTTCGCTCGTGCAATCTAAGTTAAGTGACTTTCGAGAGCCCCGGCGACGAAACTTGCCCCACCGCTTACCTCCTCTCAGGAGCAACCCTTTCACTTTCCCATCGTCCCCCCCCCCCGCTCCTCCATCCTCCCAACGACAGAATCCGAAATGTGACGAAGATTACCCTGTATCTAGAGATCCGTGGGCCGCTCGGGGCCACTTGAAAAATAGACTCGTTTAAGGTACAGAGCCACCGTCCTTTTTGTTAAATTTGCTCGATGTTGTATAAACTATAAGATAAAACAGTTAACTTTAACCAACCGTCAACAAAATGTTTCGCTTCTATAACCGAATTGCATGAATTAGTAACAGTTGCGTAGAATAAAAGATTGCATTGATTTTAAATAAAGTTAATAAAAAAATATGTATGTATAATTAAAGAGTACTCCTCTCCCCCCCCGTAGTTTTTTAAAGATAAGAAAGAGATAGAAATGATGCTGTCGTACAAATTTTTCTGATAGAAAAGTCACTTTACATACGCTAAAAAATATATTATTAAAATTAATAGAAGACATTTTATATCATTCGCACGGGGGTTTATCTTCATCTATCTCAAATATATCCTCATACTACTCGCATAATTCTGGTAAAATTCAATTATATATTTCCAAAGTTACCAAAAGCCGAACTAATCTAATATAATCTATATCGGTATATATTGCGAAACTTGAATTTATCGTAAATATTTCATATCTACTTGCCGCGCATTTCGATATTATTCCACTTTCTCCACTCCCATTTCTAGCGAATAAATGCGCAATTATTCATCGCCAAATGGACTGCGCCGGATAAACCAACAAATTAAAAAAAAAAATACGTTAAACTTCGCCGACCCGCGCTTTCAGTTCGCGAACGAATTCACTTCTGCGTGCATCTCTTTTCCCCCTTTTTTTCGCACACTCGCCGACGTGCCATATTTCGCGATTAACGCGAAATATACGAAAGTGCCGTAGCGCAATCTATACCGCTGCAGCACGGCATGGCACACGCACCCAGCGGAACGTGTCAGATCGCTCTGCCATTCGGAGTGTCGCGACCGCCGGGATTGCCTCGATTTTCGAAGAGTCACGAGCCGCCGGTCGCTCGTAAATACGGCGATTCCACTTTTTTTTTTCCTCCCCTGGCCGTCCACCAACCGTTCGCCTGGCCGAGCGTGGTCCTCATCGGGCCCTCCGACCCAATCGACCGACGTCGCGCGGAGAACGTCTGGTCCACGGTGGTGCGGCGCAACCACGCGCGCGATACATGAATCACGAAGCCGGAAAGTGATATCGAATGGAACGTGGAACGGAGACTTTCTAGGTGCATATGTGCGCGCGCGCGAGCGTCGACTTCGACCCGGTATATGGCCGGCGACCATTAAAACGAGTGGCTCATGCCGCAAATTGCTGAAATGACACTCCGCACACTCGCCATAAGCGGTCCCGACGCTAATTCGCTCTTTCACCGGCCCGTCCCGCGATTTCGCCGCCGCCGTCGCTCGCGATGCCACAAAGCGGTGTAAAACCATCCCCCGATATACCGCCACATGACCTCAAGTTTTTCCGCCCGCGTTCGTTAAAACCGTGCCGCAGAATCTCTCGCGAAAGAATTTTTCCCTCGCGACGCTTTACAATCGCGTTAATTGCGCCCTGGGGGGATGTAGAACGATGCGAACGCTAAAGAGGCGGAATTAGATAAGGTACAAGGGGTAACACGGTCACAACGACGATTATAATCGTAAAAGCGGAAAGAGAGTATTCCGATGCTAATTAACATTATTATGCTTATGTTATGCATATAAGTACCTTTGATGTTTGTTCCGAGATAATAAAGAATATTAACAGTCCCTATTTATTTTAATTAATTAAGATCCTAATTCAAACGAGAAACTATCAATTTTTGTATAACGAAAATGTTCTTATATATATTTTTAGAACCTTATTTTTTATATTTAATCGACAGAATTCGTTATGAGATACATGAAACTCGAGGATTTTTCCTCATAAATCAGAATTCTTGCTGATAATATATATCAAAATTCCAAGGTAATTATGTATAAAAATCTATATTATTCTTAACATGTCGTACGTTTGTTAATTTTGAGAAATGCTTGATTTTTTTATACTAAAATTATAATCCTCTTAACCATCCCGCTACGTCACTCTTCATTTATCTTCTATTGTTTATATTATATGTTTAAAGTGATTTTTATTGTTGGTCGACTTCACACGCACAAACACCGACAGTGCGACAACATAATAAATCGTCCGGTTTCGCAGATTCTCTCTGGGCAACCTTTTTTCGCGCGTTCGCCGGCTTTCGTTTACCTTCAGAAAATACCGCGCCCGACGTGCAATTGTAATGGGACCTGTTAACAAGTCGCGGGAGAGGAAATTTTCATGTTTACCCGCCACGCGGAAATGTACGTGAGAGTTTAGATTGAATGGAAAAAGTAACGCCGGGCAGGACGGGACGAGAATTTTAACACTTTTGCAATTAACGGGTGGAGTTAGGATGACACGGTGTCACGAGAAAAAGATTGCTCGCAAGAAGATAATAGATTGTTCTATTAATAAATCAGGTATAATTAAAGTTGCTCTGCAATCAATGTCGGATGAGTATATCTTTGTGTTAGCAAACTTGCTTGTAATAAATTTTAAATATATAATTTCTATTTGTAATGCACAAGCTTAAGTAGCAAAGATTTTATTTTTATCAAAGTTATTTTTTATTAGTTGATTGAATCGCACTGAAAAGTGCTAAAACTTTGCTTCAATGGATGTTGAATCCAAGGGCTATAGTAGGACTATATTCAAACAAAATGCATAAAATTTTTTATTTATACATTCAACATTTCAAATCATATTCCAATCTTGATATTAAAAAAATTAAACAGACTGCTAAACCTATGTTCATTGGAACAAAAAATTTGCATATTTGAAAAATTTCACGTTGTATCACAAACACAATAGGCACCAGTATGAATCAAATATAAACGTAAATAAATTATGCAATTTGTATACAAGTACTTTTCTTTTTTTCATATTTACTCTTTCAAACATATCTTTTTTTTTATATTACTTTTACAAATTTGATTAATTTTATGCAGATTTATAGAGTGAAATAAAATCTAATTTCTACATATTTTAATTCGTCCTGGTGACTATTTATTTAGTTCCCTCTATTTCCTTCTCACATTTGTTTTGACATCGAGTCCTACATACCTAAAAGCTTCATGACCTGGGAATGGCTGATGAATATATTAAAATAGCCATCGCTGCAGCCGATCAGAAACAGGAGGACGAAAATGTTGCGCCGCAGGAGATCGCAAGGACCACCACACCACCGCATTGTCTTACATGCTCCGTACGTACCACGCACCTGCCTAATCAAGTTAGTTAGTTTCAACTTCAACACCTATCGTTCGCTTCGGCACCGACTGCTCGCACGTGGTTCCATCCACGGACGTGCCCTGCCATTTCTCGCGCCACTCCTCGAGATATATTTAAGAGTCTCTCGATTACCGCGCTCGCAAAAATTCAGCGCGCTTTGTAATCGTCATAAGCGATCATTGTGGAAAAAATTTCGTCCATCCACATGTATGATACATAGAGAAAAGCGAGTTTCAACAATTGTCAGCGTCTTCAGTGTCTCGTTCGCGCGTGTGCTGTCATAAGTCGTTCATAATCGAGCGCGTTCTCGAACGGCGAGACGATCACATGGCACTGCGGTGCGCGATGACGGAGATTAGGGTGGCGTCCTGGCGCAAGGGAGGAGACGACGTCGTCGTCGACGACGTCGGTGCTCGACTGAGTGCCGAGCGACTGTACGTCCATCGTTTTCGACGGCGAGTCTGGTCGCGCTTGCGCCTATGCGGCCAGTCACCTATATCGCGTATACGGAACGCGTATTATGCACGTACGGTATGTGACGGATTGCTAGAAAAACAGTGCGTATGCATGCGTACGCATTGCGTGTCCCGGTGTAAGGTGTAAATTATGTCGCCAAAAATAGATGGCCGGATAAACATCGCGAAAATGACACGCGGGCGGCAGGGCGCGGACTGCGAAAATAGCGAGGGAATATGCATCGTCCGCGAATTGCACGGGGGGAAAAAAACTATCCACTTGCGCGCTTTTTTTCCAACGGTTTATCCGGTTTTGCGCTACTGCCGGAATATTGCCTCTGATTGAAAAATCGCGCAAAGGTGCGCGCCCGCTACTCGACGCGATATCGAGAGGATGCTCGAACGATCATTGAACATATTCCGCGTGATCGTCGATAACGTTTGAGATCAAAAGCGATGCTGGCAGTAATCACTAGATACAGCTTTTGCAGTTATAGACGACGTTACACTGTAATTAGCAAATATTTGCGGCCACCGAGTACGTCCTCATGGTTGGAAATAGGCCAACCACAATGATATATCTCCATGGAAACGCTTCAACCAAGGACCTTGCACATTTGTAATATGTTCACCTTTGTCATACCCTCGTCATTTGTGAATTTTCAGAGACATATGGCAGAATGAATAATAAATCTTTTACACAAACACTGGTTATTTTAAATATGCATAATATTTTTGCAAGAATAGCAGAACAGATGCTTTATTTTATAAACGCTCGCGCACGCAACACTCGTCTGTTATAAATATTTTAAAAAATTTTATTTTGTATTAAATAATTGAGAAATTATTTTGATGAGTGATTATTTAAATTTGTATTTCGTTATATTACAGATATTGAGTGAAAAACATCTGTTTTGTAGCGACGAACTTATATCACGGTATAAAAATATGAAATAGAAGGGAGAACATTTCAGTTTCAAACTGATATACGCGTTTGTGAAAACATAATTTATTCACGAGGATTGTATATAATGCAGAAAAATAAAAATCAGCAATCCATTTTATATTAACGCTTGGTGGTGCGTATAACGTAGAAAAATCGGGAATAAAGTTTCTTCATAGAACGTATAAATATTTTCGCGACGTGTACCGCTACGTGAAATAAATCGGATTTACGGATATAATTTCGAAATAATACCGGAAACCTTTGTCGCTTGTAATTCTATCGAGCTCGTTATTGACGTGACGACAGAGTGCCGATTAACGGCCACGACTCGGCGAACAACGACGAAATTGACGTTCGGCGTCCAATAACATCAAAAACTTTTCAATCCACTTGGAGTCATGAAATTTCATCGTAATGGTACCCACCCTCCCCGCCTCGTTCGTGTTCGCGACTTCGTATCCCCGGGTCCTGGCTTCGTTAGCACGCAATATCGTCACTGACGAGCTTTAAGCCCGACACACGAAAGGGCGGAGGCAACGTAACGACGAAAGAAATAATTTCGAATGACCTCGCCTGTCGGTCCAGATCACCCGCGCCGATTCCTCTCGTGCCCCGTGTGATCCCGGGTGGGGAAAGGTCGGAGATATCGGCGCGCGATCGACGACGCCGCTCGCGCGCGCGTTGTCCGAAAGCGTTAGAATTTAATTAAATCGGTCCCCGGCTATCCCTGTCGTGTCGCAGAGGCCACTTCCTTTCCACCCTCAGCTCTGGCAACAGTCCCTCGCCGGACAGTTCGCAGCCTCGGGATTCACAATTTGATCTTCGCGTAGAGTTTAACTTCCAGAGAGCGGACCATTCCTCTGGTCCCCCTTCTTCCGTCCTACCCCCCGCGATGCTCGACAAAACGGCGCTTTAATTATACCGCGGGATTAATTAACTCTCCGTCGAACTCCGGCGGCGGAACACACCCGCGGGATTCGCCGCGCCCGCGCCGCCGAGCCGATCGCAAATAATTAAAGACCGTTTTTCGTTCGTTTCCTTCGCTCTTTCTTTCGTGGAACCGCGCCGCCCTCGCGCTTACACGCAAACAGATGCTTCGCGGAGTGATTGACGGAGTGATTAATATTTATTGACGACTCGTCGATGCGACGACATTGATGTACGAACGAAATGTCATTACGTTCATGGAAAGAAGTTGCAAGCATGCAATAATACCGCAAACTGCGCAACATGATCAATAGAAGGTATTATAATTTATAAATTCTTGTTTTATATTAAAGAAATTGTATAAAAAGCACAAAGAGAGAAAGAAAGTCCCAAATCTCATATAATTATATCTCTATATAACTGGTATCCTATTTTTCTATTTTCTCACCATTTTTTAGCAATAAATCAGTAAAAGTTTGATTGAAACTTTTAGAGATTTATAACTTAAGAATATATTTCATCTTGCTCCATCCATGACATTTTTCAATATAATATTTTCTCGTCTTATACGAATTGCATATTGTTCGATGTAATTTGACTTATCGTTGAAAAATGCATTCTACCTGATTGCAAAAGTAATTTCACCAGAGAGAAATGTGAATCGGACTACAACTTCTAAGGATGTAGTTCAAGCTTCCGTGCGCAGAATCACGCAAGCGTATAGCGTATGTATGTGCGTATATAAATTGGACGGCACACGAACTCAATCTGCGCACATATAAGGAAAGTTACACGAATATACCTAAAGCTAAGAGTGGATCTAGCCGAATCCATTAAATATTTGAGCGAACGAAAGAGGCTAGGGAAGCAAGCTCGTGGAGGAAGTCTCCCCTCGGCTCTTAAGATCCATAGTAGCCCAACTCTCTCTCTATATTAATATTTACATTTATATTTCTTCCTCGTCGTCCCTCTTATTTCAACTTAATGCCGCCGGGGATTTCCAGCGTTCCAGACTGAATTATTATGATTTTCACAATTCAACACATTTCGAGCAACTATATTCCGGATTGTACGCTTCCTGATAAGCGATATACGTCTTCGCGTGTCATATCGATTCGCCTAGTATTTTGTATGATTTACACTCGAGAATTAATTATTGCAACGCTTCGCAAATAAATTTTGAAATGCATTCTTTACAAATTTCTCCACTGTTTTCATATCTACGCTTTCAATGAATCTTTCGCTTTAAAACGCATTAAAAAAAAAAAACAGATTTATAGCTAATAAAATTAAATTTCTGTTTAAATTATATATATATAACTTTAAGAAGTCAATTTTGTCATAGCTATTTACATATAGATTTATCTATATTACGTTAATAATGTTATCTTAATAAATGTTATCGCTATATCAGTAACTTTCAGAGAGCCAAATAAACACTCCGCCAAATTCCTGATTAAATCAAGACAAACTAAATGTGTGTAACATCCGCAAATGTTTGATTGCTGTGATCGATTGACCACACATTGGCCGTCCTCTTATTTTTAACTGAAATGAATCAAAAGATTCTTCTAATGGAAACGTTACTTTGTTATAAGTCCAAAAATAATTAATAATAAATTTATTTCATTAATAGAGAATAATTATCGCGAAATTGATACTTTATATTAATTAGATTTTTTGTTACACTTTTTATTATTATCATTTATTATCGAATTATTTTATTATCGTCAGAAATATATGCAAGAAATCGTATCTTTTTATATAAACTGCTCGATTTTATCACCGAATATCGTTGCAGTTAGATATACTTTGGTTGACTTGATCATAGACATACATTTTTATAAATTATATTAGGCTACACTTTTAATTTTAAAGTCTCGAACTTTTATTCAGTAAAAACAAACCGTAAAGACCTTTCGCCATTCCCGCCGTTTGTAATCGGCAGTCTTTTTTTTGCACATGTGTTATTCAATTTTTGTCTGTGCATAATTCATTATTTTTCACATGACTTATTTTACAATACGATATAAATTTCATCAAAATACAATGTTACAAATACAACATTATTACAAAATATATAATCGAGCTGCTTATACATTTAATTTTATAAATAACAAATTACTCAAAAATGTCGGAAATGCGTATAATAATACAGAATTCACGATTTTTGTACCAGACACAAAATTATTGGCTGTGTGTAATAGGTATGTTCATAAATGACAATTAATTATGCGGCAGGCAATTATTAATTATTCGTTTACAATTATGGAGCTTATTAAGCGTTAAATAACAAGCAACCGCGACTAAAAAACTCATTAATGAATTTATTAATTTATGTTCCTCGCAGGAAATAATACTGCGATATCTGACGTGTGTTATAGGCCTTATAAAACGATCGCGTTATCATGACGTTTAATGAATTATAATTAGCTCGACGATTTAGCTAAATCGAAGCCCCTTTCATCATGGCCACCCTTTGGCCACGTGCACGCACGTTTGTAAAGTTGGCACAACATTCTACAAATTTCAAAAAAATACTAAGAGTTCTAATAGCACTTTTCATAGTTCTACAGTTCTACAGTTCCTGATAAAAATTTTAAACTAGTCCCTTATATTAAAAAATCGAAATTGAAAAAATGTCATGCAACTTCGTGAATCTAGTACATTTTCTGCTCTAAAGTACTAAAATACATTGAATATTGTAAAATTTGACAAGAGTTTCCGATAGTTCTATTCGAATTTCGCACATATGTACAATTTCAGATTGATACCCGATAAATACTCCACCAAATAACAATTTTTTATATCCGCACTCAGCACGACACTGTCGACACTTATTGTTAGTAATGTGTCATGCTGATGATTTTCCGCAGTTCTAACGAGATTATTTTCGACAGTACTTGGTTCTACAAGAGTTACAGCACGACACTTAGTGAAAACAATTTTTAACAGAGTTAACACATCTTCACTAATTGTAAGTGTCGTGCTAGACGCGGATATAAAAAATTGTTTAAAAATGGTTAATTAATGGAATATCTGAAACACTGTATATATGTGTGGAACACTCGAATATA